TGTCTAGAAGCAACATTTCTACATTTCTGTGTACATTATCAAACAGGTGTTTGTAGAGATACAGACATTTCTGTGAATGACTGCAGTACCCTTGGTCCTTTGCTCCTACCATCAACATCCTGTAGCTTCATAAGACAACACAAAACCACCTCCTTCAGAGATACACAGAGAGTGTCTCATGACTCTCTCCCTGCAGCTCAAAGTAGCAGTTCTACATTAGGGTCAGGCAGCAAAAAAGTCATGTTTAGTCAAAACCTCATCACATTTTCGGTCTTTCTGCTGTGGACATCAGGTGAATAACCATAAATATCTGCTTTGATCTACAGATTTGAAACATTTAACATTTTGCATGACATCTCTGTTCTATTCATCCAGGCTGTCTTGGTGGGAGTGATGTGACCCAGACCCCCATGCTGTGGAAGTCTGTGGGTGAAGATGCAACAATGGAGTGCAAACATACCAAGGGTGCTGACTATATCCAGATGTATTGGTACAGACAGCTGCCTGGAGAAACTATGAAACGTGTTGTTTACACAACAACAGCTTAAAAAAATCATGACTTTGGAGATTTTGGAAATGAAAAATTCAATGCCACCAAGACTGAGGTTGACAAAGGGACGTTTACAGTGAAGAATCTACAACCAAAAGATAAAGGCTTGTATTTCTGCGCTGTGTCAAAACACAGTGATACAAACACATGTGTGAGCTGAACAAAAACATCTGAGCTCTGCTCACCTCAGGCCCAACCACACATTGTGTCACTAATGAGATCCTCTCATATCCAACATTTCCTTTCTCTGTAGTGACATCAAACCTCCATCACACACACTGACAGTGGCTGAGTTTAGTCTTTTAAAAATGTAATAATATTTCCGACTGCTCTGATAAAGCCTTCTGCAGCGCTGCTCTGTGTCGAAGACATAATGAACAGGAGTAAAAAAGGCTGGCACTTCCTAGAAGATGAACTGGCACCAAAAGCTTCCAAGATGGAACATTTCACAATCCCTCTCCCCTGCTTCTACATGAAAACAACTGATTCAAACAAAGAGTAACTCAAAAATAAACTTCTCCATCGACTCACCATACTGCCACCTCCAGAAGCCATAGTTGGCCTTATTACAGGTGGCGACAACTCAGACTATAGACAGTGGACTCAAGACTTCGTGGTCTGGTGTCAGCAGAACTACCTCCTGATTAATGCAGGGAAAACCAAGGAGCTAGTGGTGGAATATCAGAGAAGTAGATCAACCCCACTGACACTGGTGAACATCAAGGGAACAGATATTGAGATAGTGGACTCCTAAAAGGACCTAGGTGTTCACCTGAGCATTAAACTTGACTGGACTGAGGTTTTGTAAAAGAAGGGTCAGAGCAGACTCTTCGTGCTGAGGAGACTAAGGTCTTTTGGAGTGCTGGGGGCGCTACAGAAGACCTTCTTCGACTTGGTTGTGGAATCAGCCATCTTCTATGGAGCTGTCTGTGGAAGTAATGGCTGAGAGAAAGCAGCTGGATAAGCTGAGCAGGAAGGCCAGCTCTATGATTGGATGCCCACTGGACTCAGTGCAGGAGGTGGGGAACAAACCCTAACTAAAATAACATCTCTGTTGGATAATGTCTCCCATCCCCATGCATGAAGCTGTCCTTCAGTGACAGACTGCTGAAACTCTAAATGCACCAGGGAGCGTTATCACAGACCACCGTTCCCAACAACCTCAAGAAGTTGTTGCATTCATGCTAATTCATGATAATTCATGACAATTTTTGCACAGTTTCTCTCTTAGTCACTTCAAAAAAAACATGCTGCCGTCAATTTGGCACATCTCTGGTGTTCCTGCTATTTTCACATATCCATTACTCCTAAAAGGTCCACAGCTGTTCTTATTTATTTTTCAGATGACTACATAGAATTTTCTTATTTTGTTATTTTTATACACTTTTTAAGGTCCATATTTGTGTGACCACTTTTGCTGTAATGCTTTTACTGCTGTAACACCACATGAATTTCCCCATTGCGGGACAATAAATATATTTTCTTTTCCATTCTATTATATCTGCAGGGGGAAGCTGTTTACTAAATGCTTTTGGTTTTATTTTTTAATCCAGCACTTACTTTAAGAAGACAGACAAAACACATTTCTATTATAAATCTGTCTTCTGTAAAGTCATGCTCTAGTGTTGTTTTTTTTTTTACCTTAGATTTCTACAGTCCATTATATTTCATTCAGTCTTATAGTCTCAAGTTCCCTTCTTTCAGTGTTGTAGTGTGGTCTCCATCCAGAGGAGGGAACCATTGTTCATTCTTAAATAGAGCCTGACCTTGATGTAAGATACATATTTTTAACAATCCTCTCTGGGAAGCAAGATAAATATGAAATTAACGGTTAATTTAAAAATTTGCAGGGTGTAGAAAAGAAATCAGATTTCCCAAAACCTGGGACTTTCTAATAACATATGTGAACAATCTACTAGGACTGGACCGGGAACTCTGAATCATTACATCTGCCCTTGAACAAAATCTGTTATAGCAAGTTTTAAGAGCACTGCTTGTTACTGTTTGTTGTGTTTTTTTGTTTTGTTTTTTGTGGGTAAGATCTGTCTTTGTATATTGTTGGTACTGTCTGTTATAATTAGAAAATATGCCTGTTTTATATGTTCAATGAAAATCAGAAATAGTGTTTTAATAAAGGAAAATGTATGATTATTTATTTATTTAGGATAAAATACTATATTTATTGATCTAATGCATGCATGGCAACTAACATTGAAAGTCTTAAATTTACAAATAGAAATCTTGCAACTTTTTAATTAATTGAACGTGTGTCAGTTTTGGCTTTCCACAGAACATTGCAAACTCTGGACAAAACAAGTTGGGCAAATTTTAATTGCTGCATAACTTAATTTAGCAAAGATAGTCAACAAATCCTTGACAGAAACTGCTGATATTTTTGTGTCATCAGAGCACTTACAAACTTTGACACCCCAGAGAACAGAATTTCTGCAAGTGAGGGTGATCCACAGTTAAGCTGTTCCTGCGGCTCCAGGCGGTTTCCTCAGGTGAGAGTTCTATAATTTCTATGTTTAGGTGATGGAGCTGCTGCCTGATCAAGGATGGAGGGGAAACATTGTGTTTTGTATTTTCTAATTGCAGCACAGGGAGCCATATGTTTTACCGCAGTAGCCTGATAAAAAAAAAAAAAAATTATGCTGCATTAGCAACACAACCATTAAGAAGGCATCATAGTTGGAGGTAGTTCCATAATACTGCAGTGGATAATCGGAAGGAAGTGAAAATAGGAAAATATCTGATGTAACTTGCATATAGAGTAGTACTGAATTTCTGTGCTAACATAAAAACGTAAAGAAATAAACAAATGTTCTTGACGAATGATTCACTCAACAGTTGCATAGAGATCAACTATTTAAGAAATACTACAAGAAATGCACTTGTCGAAATCGCTTATATCTGTGTTGATATGGCAATTTACTATGTCGAATTTTGGATTTCATTAAAAGGCTTTGAGTGTGCTACAAGTTAATATTAAACAACTTTTTATAAAAAATCTTCTAAACGTATATTAAGTACAATTCTATGTTCCTGTGTGGTTTTACAAGGATACATATTAAATACTTCCTGTAAAGTTACCACCCAGAACATTGTGATAGAATCTTTGAAGCTACATAAATGTTTTACTTTCTTATTTTGATTGAATGCAGTTCTGAATCTGTATGGTTAAGCTATGGTGAATGTAAAATTCATGACTGCTGAAGCTGTAGTTGACAAAACAGTTTGACCATTCAGAAGAGGAGGTGGAGCTTTTTCAGCTGCTGCCCCAAAATTGTAGAATGAGCCCCCCCTCCTCATTAGAAAATTATCTTTACTGTCTTACTGTTTAATTGTTTTTTTTATTTGGTTTTATTTTATTATATTTGTTATATTCCTTTAAATGCATGTGTTGTTTTTCTACAGTTTTGGATTTACCTGATATTTACAGCACTTTGTGGCAGCTATGGTTGTTTTGAAGGGCTTTATAAATAAAGTTGAATTGAGTTGAGGCATGGAGGCACACCAAAATATATTATACTACTTATAATGTTAACAACAGGACTAGAACATTGTAGGGCCTGTTAAAGGAAAGCCAAGTTAGTTCTCCCTGATTCTTTCATGAGAAGAGATCACTGAGAAAAACACTTAAATAGCAGTTTGCAATGTTTAAGTATAAAATTACTAGAAAACATGGGTAGAATTTAAGCTTAGACCAGAGAAATGGCTCAGGTTTCAAAACACAGGCCTTATGGGGCTTTCATTAGGAAAAGAGGCCTTAATAACAGTTACAGAAGCTTTTTATACATCTGCATTCACACTCACATCCTCAAAAAATTACATCATATAGACGTTGTTTGTAAATGAGGAGACATCACTGGCTCCAAACTAATCAAGATAATACAGTGTCTTCTAACAGTAGATCCAATCCAAATGCACCCTGACAGAAAACTGTCTTAATTCATAAACTCCTTGCCTTAAAAAGCCTTAAACATTAGCATTAATACTTTACAGGTAAGTAATATCAGAGTTTAACATGCATATACATTAACAATAGAAAGGAATGATCTAACAGGTTTTAAGAAAGAACTGAGAATGTTCCCTGCTGCATAAAAGTGCAGACCATACTGGTTTCAGGTAAAAACCACGAACACATACAATATCAGATAAGGAACAGAAGGGAATGAAACACTTGCACGCCAACATTTAAAGCACTCAGCATTAAAAGCAGTTTACTTATGTGCTGCTCACTACAACGGTACTGCATGTTACTGCTCCTCTTTTCATTACCCTCCACTGCAGCTGTATTACCTGCTTTGATGAGGTTAGACCATATGTTATATGACAAATATGATAGTAGACTTTAAGCCTGCTGTAACCACGCCCACCTATAGAGCACTCATTCTCTGCTGTAGCCTCAAATTAGAGGCTTTAAACCATTGAATAGGCTGCTGAGCATATCACAGTAACAGCAGTATGATGCATGACAGAATGAGAGTCATCATCTTAATAATAACCCTCAACACTCTGCTGTTTTCAGGTAATCACTCTTTACTGTATTACAATATCATAACTTAAACCCAGAGTGGTGTTGTATGGTGTTATATTTTGTGTAGTGTTGCACCGATACCAGTATCGCACGGGGTCCCGATACTGCCCTAAAATGATGGTATCGGTATCGGCGAGTACCAACAAATAGGGCGCCGATACCATTTTGAGAGCCATAAGTTTATTCAACTATTGTCACCCATTCCTGGTAGGCAATAAAAAGTTCTAGTGGATTCACTTTGTATTAGATTTTTTCTTGCTTCACAAAGGTAGGCAGCAACTTGACAAAGTTATGATGGCGATAATTTTACATTATTATGGTATCGGTATCGGCCGATACTGCACAGCCAGGTATCGGGTATCGGCATCGGCGCAACACTAATTTTGTGTCATGTTCTTTTTTTTCCAATGTTGAATTATACAAATGCATGTTGTTTTGTTCTTCCACAGGTTCTTCTCTCAGTAATCAAGTCCGCCAGACTCCACTTTACATTCAAGCAAATCCAGGAAACTCAGCCGTTATCAACTGCTCTCACAGCATTCAGAACTACAACGTTATGCTTTGGTACAAGAGATCAGAGGACAGGCAGCTCCAGCTCCTAGGTTATAAGTTCCCTGGGAGCAGTTCTATTGAACCTGGAGTGAAAGTGGAGATTGGAGGGAATGCAGATAAAGACCAGAACTGCACTCTGACAATAAAAAAGCTCAATGTGAGCAGCAGTGCTGTTTACTTCTGTGCTGCTAGTTTCCACAGTGATGCATATCAATGCTCCTCGGTGCAAAAACCTCAACCTTCATTGAAAAAAAAACCAGAGTGTTGCACAAATTGGTCTAAAGACACTTTTAATTCATATTTTTTACCCAAAATATTTAACATTTACTTATAATGTATCGTTAGCCTGTCTGTAACTCAAATGTAGAAATTGTAAAATATAGATATTAAGGCTCACATACTGGCAGAAATGAGTAACCCCTAAAATGAATTGCATAGGCTGTTGAAAAGGAAACATGGGTACAGCTGCTGTTTTTGCTTTGAAACAATTTAGTTTTAGATTTTAATTACTTTAGCAGCATCCAAAATAATTATACAACTTCAAAGCTAAAATGTTTTATTTTCAGTAACATCAAATGGTCAAACTGCACATTGCAGCGACATGAACCTCTCCTCCATCAATACGGAGACCTCCATTGTACAAGATGGCTTCTGCAACTTCGCTTTATCCATCTTGTCAAGTGATGACGAGATGACGAGATCCATTCACGTTAGATCGCTACATCAAGCTTTAAAAAAAGCTGTTTTATTTTAGCCCTAGAAGGACTGTTTCCTATCCTACTTCCAGCATAGACACAGACAACCTGCTGCTTCTCTCATCCCGCTCCGCCGCTCATTCCTGCCATCGGCTGCTTTGATCTTCAGCGGCCCTCTTACCATCTACAGCAGTTAGTGTCCAGAGCCTAGCCTTGTTCTCTTCCTGCTCTGTTGCCCTGGCAATGCCATCCTCCTAACGGTAAGCCGAAGCAACTCTACTCTGCCTTCAGACCTATCTCCACCCATCGGACAAATCCGATCTTCCGTCATTCTGCTTGAGTCCACCGTATTTAGCCTTTAATTACCCTGGCCAGCTGTATCCTCTTCCAGGCCATCAGTGCTTTTTGCGGGCAGGCCTCTCCGAGCTACCGCTGTGCTCCTCAGCTCTCTTCCTGAGCTAGCAGCGGCAAGGTGCTGCCTCTACCGCTGTGGTTGCTTAGCTCCATATCTGACTCATTCCAAATATGGAGCTCTCTCTCAGTCACTGTTCTCACCTTGATTCCCTGCTGCTCCTGCCTGAGCTCACGGATGCCATCTTCCCTCACCTCTGTTGTCCAGGTGAGACAACCCCCTGTTTTTTGGCAGTCTGAGAAAGATGTGAGACCAATCAGGAAATGTAAAAAAAAAATAGAATTAAAATAAAAAAACGGCAATTTAAAATGGTGGTCTTCATAATAACTGGGTGGTTGCAGTTTGCGGTCAGTGCAAGACTTTTTTTTTTTTGAGTTTTTACGGCTGTAGTGGCTCGATTTTTCTTACAGTAGGCTGACAGGAAAGGGGGTATACGAGAGGTGGAGAGACATGCGGCAAAGGACCACAGGTCAGATTCAAACTCGGGTCAGCCACGTCGAGGACTAAGGCCTCCGTCCATGGGTCGTGCGAGCTTACCACTGCGCCACCTGCACACCCTGGTCAGTGTAAGTCTAGTTTACATAGATAATTTTAGTATTTTATTAGTCTTGTTTTGATTGTATATAGGCCTCCAACTTGCTGCAGTCCCATTCGAGTGAATACTGATCAGTATAGTCTCTAGTTTGTCAGCTCTGTGCTTCCGTAGGGCAAAAGATGTTTGCCATGACAAATGTAAACCCACTCCCATGCAGTGTTGGGCACGTTACTTTGAAAAAGTAATTAGTTATAGTTAGTAGTTACTTCTCCCACTCACTGAGTTACTCTTCACTGAGTTACTCCACAATAAAAGTAAGTAGTTACTAGTAAAAGTAACTATTGCGTTACTTTTGCGTTTCTCGCCCCCGTAACCCTCACCGCCAGCTGAATAGAGCGGACGACAAAGACAAGAACCTGCAGAGAGTTTGCCATTTATTGCAACTCAACGTAAATGACACCAGGGGGGAACGCGATGTGAAGTTTTTTTAACAGGGCATTCAGATCTGCTGAGTATATGAAATCAATAACTGGGGATGTCTAATTCTGAAATCCTGTGTGTTTGGGTTGTTATAGATACTACAACATCTATCTATCCATCTATCTATCTAGATGTATACTCTGTGTGTGACATAAAATATGGATCTCCATCCCTGCCACAAAGGCCATCAAATAATGTTTAGAATAAAAAATGAAGTAGGTTGAAAAGGCAGAGTATCCATCCATCCATCCATCCATCCATCCATCCATCCATCCATCCATCCATCCATCCATCCATCCATCCATCCATCCATCCATCCATCCATCCATCCATCCATATTTCTCCCTTTCTCCATATAGGCTATCATTTGAAAAAGGTTCATTGTGCGACCTGAGTAACGCGCAGTAACAGGGTGTCTGCAATGGTAACTGCGTTATAGTTACAGTCAAAGTAATTAGTTAGATTATTCATTACTAAAACAAGGTAACGGCGTTAATAACGCTGTTACTTTCAACACCGTTAGTCCCATCACTGCTCCCATGTAATCATAAATAGCCATTTTTAAGTCAAGGCAAATATAAAGATTGAGACTCTCAGTTCATAAGTGATAATAAACAATATACATATACATTATAAACACAATTTATGACAGTAAATCTCAGTGATTATTACACACCGTACCATTAAACAACAGGCATGATCAGATATAATGGTGTTACAAAGAGCATGAATGCACAAGATAGTGATAAATTTGTGATATAACCTTTAGTCAGGAGATGGTGAACACTGAGTGGATCAGCAGTGTTGAAAGATCTCTGATTTTATTTTCTCTCTTCAGGTAGCCATGTGAAAGCTGTGGGAAAATAAACTCTTGTCTCTCAATAAATCACTCAAATTCAGTTCTTTATCCCTGAGCAACATAGGAGATGTATTTGTACAAACTATTGGATTCTTCGAACATTATCAGAAAATCTCAAAGCATTATCTGATGTTGGTTTGTTTTATACATTCCCAAATCATAGATAGAGTTATGGTTCAGATCATTCTTTGTAAACAAACCTGTTATATCAGACATCCTCTTTTCCAAAGAAACGGCAGGTAAAAATGACTTAACTCCATGATAATTCAACTGTTTCATCTTGTACACATTACTAGGTAACATTCCTAAACATTTAAGGCTAGAGCAATCCTGAATCTTATCTCAGACAGCTGTAAAAACAAATCAGTCCACTTTTCAGAAAAACTGGTCAATTTTCAATAAATTATTTTTCCAATGTGAAGGTCGATAATCATGTTTTTTAAATAATTTCTTGAACCACTCCAGCTCCAGACTCAAATCAAAGAATGTAATCTTGCAGAGAAGTAGATGGAGGCCATCTAAAAGTCATTTCCCAGGCGAGATATATTGTTCATTACCAGATGAGTCCATCAACATCTAGAAAGCTCATGAAAGACTGGGGATAAAAGAGGAAAAATATTTTCAGAGAGTTGGATAACTAGAAGGTGGCCACTACAACATAGATGATAAGCACTGGACATAAATAGGTAAGTCAGGTTTTATCTTTTAGCAGCTTTATCAGACAAGCATCACATAGTGTTTTAGTAATGGCCTCTCTGAATATGAATGAGGCAGTGAGAGAGCAACTTCCTGAAAAGCTCTGTCTCCATAGGTTGGTGGTACCACCGACAACATTTGGCTCACAGACTCTACTTTCCAAAATGGAGATAGAGGATGGAAAAGGCCCAGAATGTATTTAGGGGTGTGGCCATGAATTGCTCTGAATGTTAAAACCAACATTTTAAGATTAATTCTCAGGCATTCAGATAACCATTGGAGTGAGACCAGATCAGAAGATATCTGAGCTCTTCTGTTAGATTTGTTAAAATCCTAACTGCAGCATTCGGTTTAGACTGTAGGGGAGCCAATGAGGAGCTTTTAGAAGTAAAAATATTAGACACTTTGATCTGTAACAACAAGGTTACTGTCACTCCCTTCCAACCTCCTACTTCACACCCCTATAGGGTTACACCCCTCTCTTTGAGAATCACTCATGTTGCCTAAAAAAAGCTTCAGTTTGTTCAGCTGCTAAGCATACCATAGCAACAGTGGCATGATACCTGACAAAATGTGTGTCAGAATCTTAATACTAACTCTAAACACTCTGCTGTTTTCAGGTAATCCCTGTTTCTAGTACCAAATTACCAGAACTTTCACTGTTACAGTTGTACTTTTTAAGTGTTTTTCTTTTTCACAGTTGAATTACTTGATGCAAATACATATTGTTTTGTTCTTCCACAGGATCTTCTCTCAGTAATCAAGTCCGCCAGACTCCACTTTACATCCAGGCAAATCCAGGAAACTCAGCCAATATCAACTGCTCTCACAGCATTCAGAACTACAACGTTATGCTTTGGTACAAGAGATCAGAGGACAGGCAGCTCCAGCTTCTAGGTTATAGGTATTTGGGCAGCAGTACCTATGAATCTGGAGCGAAAGTGGAGATTGAAGGGAGTGCAGACAAAGACAAGAACTGCACTCTGACAATACAGGAGCTCAGTGTGAGCAGCAGTGCTGTTTACTTCTGTGCTGCTAGCTACCACAGTGATGCATATCACTGCTCCTCAGTGCAAAAACCTCAACCTTCACTGAAAACCTATATATAGGAATAGCTATAGAAATTTGTATGAAGACTCTTTGACAGGTTTAAAATTTAAGTCTACAAACTGTGGCTAAAAGCCTTCAGCTGATCCAAAATGTTGCAGCCAGAGTTATGATGAAAATTAAAAAGAGAGATCATATCTCTCCTGTTCTGGCTCTTCTTTGTTGGCATTCTGTTAAATCCAGAATATAAAGCCTTAAATGGCCAAGCTCCATCTTATATCAGGAAATAATTGTTCCTTATGTTCCTAAAAGAGCACTTCACTCTCAATCTGCAGGTTTACTAGTGGTTCATGGAATTTCTAAATGGAGAATGGGAGGCAGATCTTTTAGTTATCAGGCTCCTCTCCTGTGGAACCAACTACCAGTTTTAGTCCATGAGCCAGACACCCCGTCTACTTTTAAGGCTAGACTTAAAACTTTCCTTTTTGATAAATCTTATAGTTAGAGTGGCTCAGGTTATCTTGAGCTATCTCTATAGTTATGCTGCTATAGGCTTAGACTGCTTGAGGACAGAGGGTCAGTTTTCCATCATTCTATCTCTATTCTCCTATCCTGCAGTATTTGTTATTTCAATCTCTAACGCTATGCTCTCTGCTTTTTCTCATTGTAGCTTCATAAATCAGTCATAATCTAGCTGTCTTTATCCATGCTGGGTCAGATCCTGATGTTTGCAGGGAAAGGATGCAGGGAAAGTTTCTTGCGCTCCGAGGAGCCACTGCGCATGTATTACGAGAGGTCCGAAAGACTTTTTGCACCCTTGGGTGGAAATACAGTACATCACCAATCTGACAAAAAATGGAATTAGGCTTTAGTAGTCATTACAGATTAAACATTTATCTTTCACATCTAAAAACATATATATATATATATATATATATATATATATATATATATATATATATATATATATATATATATATATATATATATATATATATATATATATATATATATATATATATATATATATATATATATTTCGAAGTATTTTACAATTTAATCTAAAATAAAAATATGATTTATTTATTTTTTTTTTTATGTCTTAATCAGTGTCATCAGGTGTGGGGAGATGCCCTAGCGCCCTCTATTGGCAAGCCGCCACTGGGTAGTTGACTGAACCATACAGGCCATAACAGACTCTTGTTTATGAGACTTGCATCATTCCTTACTGTGAGATATTTAATCACACTGTGGGCAAGCTGCTGCAGTTTTTGTTTTTAAAAAATGTGATTCAAAAAGAAACTGCTTCTCTTTGGAAGCTCTGTGAGGAAAATGTGATCTCCTCTGTATAACCGTAGGTACATAACCAACCTTACAAAATTAGTCAAAGTGTTGTTATTTTTTTGTTTCTTAATAGATTAAAACACGCTTTAAAATCTCAAGCTTTTGTTAACACAGTCATGAGCTATATAAACCAAATATAAATATAAAACAGAAAGCTTTCACAAAACCCTTAAAAGAACCAGTATAAGTCAAGGTGAGTCAAGTTCTTATAAAAATAAAAACAAGTCCTCATAAAATCAGGGCCCATAAAGTCTATTACCTATGAAAAATCTTTTTTTTTACACCACACAAAATTTTTAGCTGTTCTCCAAATCAAGTATCTTTATCACCTGTAGAAAAAAAACACATAGCATTTTAATTATCATATCATATACAGCTCCCCATAGGTTCATACTCTGAAATTTATTTTTTAATGCCAATAAAAATACTAAGCCAAAGCTTAGTATTTTAAACCCTCCAAACATCCTTCTTTATGTCACTGTGGCTCCGCCCACCTACTGATTGATCTTCTTGTCTTATTGTAGGTTTCACTGAGAGGAGAGGTTCAAAATAACTGCTAACACTCATAGTACTAGCAATATAAATAACAAAATCCCATAAAAAAACATGAATGTCTTCCTGTTAATGTTTGCTTTTAACACTGCGTTGGTTTCAGGTAATCAGACTTTAAAGTTTTTTCAAATCCCTGTCATTTACTCTGATGGTAAATTCATTTATCTTAAAATGTGTAACCATTAGATTTAAACCAAATCTCTGTTTTCTTTTCCACAGGCTCTTCTCTCAGCGATCAAGTCTACCAGACTCCATTTTATATAGCAGCAAACCCAGGACAGAATGCCAGTATCAACTGCTCCCACAGCATTAGGAGCTACAATCGAATTTTCTGGTATAAGAAATCAGAGCACAGGCAGCTGCAATTTCTGGGCTACACTTATCAGACAACCAGCAATGCTGAACTCGGAGTCAATGTGTCAATCAAAGGGAATGCAGCTGAAGGAGATATCAGTACTTTGACTATTAAAGAGCTCACTGTAAGCAGCAGTGCAGTTTACTTCTGTGCTGCTAGCTACCACAGTGCTGCATAGTACCGGTGCTCAGTACGAAAACCTCCTCATTGTTGTGTTGTTCCTCAGGTTACATGCTCTGTATTTGTATTGTTTGCTTTGGTATGCAAACAGGTATTTAAAAAAAATACAATTACATCAGCTGTGATGTTGGTAAACTTAGTTAACTATTTTAGAAATTTTCAAGTTAGACAAAAAGAAAAACAGCAGCCAGTTTATAGGAAGATGAAATAGCTGTGTGGGGGAAAAAAAGCCTTTACACTCTTAATAAACCGTGCAAATATTCTATAAAATGTGTGCAAAGAAAGCATTAATGTCCGAAAGTACACATTAACCCCGCTAAAAAACTATGAAACAAACAGCATAGTTGTAAACACACTGAATGGGCCTTGTAGCGACTTCGATCCACCAACAGAGCCGCTGCTGGCTGAGAAGTTTTGTGCGCTGTGACGTGTCTCCAAGAAGCCATCCTTAGCCCCACTTGCATTTTCTTTTTTTCCAAAAAGTTACAAATGACGATGACAACGGCGACGGTCAACAGAAAAGTTTGACAAAACCTCCTCACACAACTGCCTGTTGGGTTGACTCCTATCTTCTAAAATAACAAGGGACCACACCCCGTAAGCAATCACCCCAGATGTGGGAAGATCTGAACACCTGTGCCACCAAAATAATAAACAAAATATAAACTGTTATCTTTTGCTCTTACAGGCCTGTTGGGAGCAGTGAAAATTATAAAATCTAACAGCAGCTGAAAAGAAGGATCTACAAGAGTGCTTTTTTATGCACCTAGGGTGAAACAGCCTTTACAGAAGTTTAGCGCTGAAGCAATTCATGTATTGGATGGAGGACACTGTCAAAATGTATCCCACCACCTGAACTGTTTGATTATTATCAAGCATTTTATATTTGATAATTACATCGACAAGTTTATTTACAATAACAATTTCTGTGACATTTTAGATAAGTATTTGTCACTTTGCCTAACAGGTAGTTACTTTAATAGTGCAGTAACTTAATTGTAAACAGTTCTTTTTCAGGAGAACTAACTTGCTTCTATTCTCAGTACTTTACACTTTTATAGGGATATTAAATGTCTGAGTTTTTTTCAGTTTTTTGCCAGTAGGTGGTGGCCTATCTCCCACTGTGAAAATAAAGAAGAGCAATCTGATGTGATCCTCCCTGTGTACCTTTTCTCTGTTCCTTGTAGATGAGGTTTCTCATATTTAAGAGGTAAAAGTGCTTCAAGATATCACTTTATGATTTTATGAGAGTTTATGATAAGATGATGGGTTTTCTTTTACATAAGTTTCAATTTTTTTCTTCTCTCAGGTAAAGTATAAAAAAATGTTTTGGACCTTTTTGCATTTAATCCCACACTTTTAAGTTCTTTAATATAGTTTTTGCCATAACTTCACCCACCCCTATCTTTATAGGTTCCTCTCCAGTTGGCCAGCTTAACCAGGTTTCTGAACATGTCCTAAAAGAGCTCGGAGCAGGAGCCATCATAAAATACTCCCACATTATCCCATTCTATGATCGGATCTTGTGGTACAAACAGACGAAACATGGACAGCTGGAGTTCCTGGGATACATGTATAATAGCCTGGCTTATCCTGAAGCTGGACCGGCTGTGAAAACTGGGTGGAAATGCAGATAAAAACCAGACCTGCACTTTAACCCTTGACGTTCTCACCCCAAACAGCAGTGCAGTTTACTTCTGTGCTGCCAGCTTCACAGTGATCAATATCACTGCTCCTCAGTACAGGAACCATCATCTGTGTTTTCCTCCCCTTTTTGTGGCTGACACAGCTTTGCACCTAAAAAGGTTATTAAAGTCAAGAATGCATTTTTTTTCTCTCTCTAAAATGGGAGGATCTGTGAAGCAATACATAACTTATCCTCCCTCAGATATATAAATCATATGAAAAGCCTCTAATGAATAATCTAACATTTTGGAGCCAGAAAAAATGTTGGACGTCTACATCCTTTTTCTGCTCTTGTCATTGAGGATTCAAGGTAACAAATATTTCATTTTAGTATAAGATTTGTGAATTTCAACAGTTAAATAAATTATATTTCCAGCTCAAAAAGTAGATTGAAAAATATGCCTGGATGGAGCAGCACTTCTGCTGAATCTATCAAAATTATATACAAATATATACATTTTCTTCTCCTTACAGTTTTCTGTCAGGACGTCATCCAGAATCCTACGATCAGCTGGAGTTTACTGTACGGATCTGCTGATATGAATTGCAGCCACAAGAAAGATATTTCTCATACCCAAATGTACTGGTACCGGCAGTGTCCAGGGGAGACCATGACCCTCATTGTGTACACAGTATATGGTGGGCAGCAGGACTATGGAGACAACCTTCAGACCAAATACTGAGCATTTAAAGACAACATAGAGACTGGAGCTCTGACTGTGAAGGATTTACAGCCTGATGACAGTGGTGTTTATTTCTGTGCTGTCAGCAAACACAGTGATGTAATTAGATCTAACAGCCGAACAAAAACTGACAATAAACTGCATTAATCAAAACCCACATCTGCACTTCCATTGCTTTCCACTAGGGGGAGCTAGGAATTAAGAAATTATTCCATATTCAACATTTCATCCACAATCCACCTGTTCAAGTGTATTGGAGCAACAGTGATGTGACATCTTGGCTGCTTATCAAACTGCCTTTGTTCGGATTTAGCTTAAAAACTGAAATTTTGATTGATGAAAAAAAATTATTTATACAGATCACAAATTTCACACAACAGGCAGTGTTATGCAGCAGACATGAACCAGTTTTTCATTTTTATGATTTAACAATCTTAATTAGGAATAGACCAGTTCTATTCAACGGCTACAAATTAATAAACTGAAATATAAGTAAGTTAAACTGTCCTGCAAGAAATGTATTTCCTATTAATTTAAGCAGGTATGTGAGATAATTTGGCAATGGAATTTCATCACTTAAAATTAAAATGAGCTAAAAAAAAAACTTATTTCAAGTGCATAATACCAAAATACTTATTCCATATGCAGATAATTTTACCTGCTCAATTTAAGGGCACATTTTTACATATTTAAATAAGTTTTACATTTATTTTCAGATTAGTTTTTGCAGTGTATTTACCCACATTTGAAAATAAAGTAATACATGATCATATTGTTTTTATTTCGACTAAACAGTCATTCCTTGTACATCTAAAATATAACTTAGTTGTTTTGAATAGTGATTCAGTTTAAATAGATAAAAGAATAACCTTTTCAAACTTCGCTTTTTATGAACCAAATGATCAGACGATATTAGCAAGTTGATATTTGTTGACCTTGAATGAACGACTTTTTAGGCTAACCAAAAGCTTTTCTCTCTTAGAGGGAGAGTTTAGATTTTTTGAAAGGGAGGTTAAGTGATAGTACACGTACTTATAGTTTGCATTTTGATTGATCAGGTGGATTACTGTTTGGGATTACCTTAACTTTTTGCTTAACAAATGGTAACATTTCTGTTGATAAGCAGCCAAGCTTTCACAGGATCAGCCTGCATCAATCTACAGCTAAATGTGGTATTGTACAAAAAGCAGAAAAAAACAAAAATAAATGTTTTCTCAAATTGATCAGCATTGTGATATGGGTAGTAATTGCACCTGACTTCAGTTTAGCACAATAAGAAAGGTGTTCGGCTAAAAAGAGATTCAAACATATTTGTGATTACAAAAATGGCAAATCTAGTCTGCCAAAGTTGTGCATCCCAGAGTAAAGGAGATCTTTTCATTTGCTTTAAACTGAATAAATAATCATCTTTACAGGAATTTGGTTCAGACAAACAAACTTTTCATGTGACATCTTGTGAAAATCACTAAAAGTAAATATAATGCAACAGCCAAAACTAATAAACTTAGAAAGTATAATTCAATGATTTTTAAAATAAGATAAAAAGTTTAATATATAGGAACTAATTACAGTATAAAGTGGGGCTCAGAAACTAGATTTTAGATCATCCTAATACATAAGACATTGTCTCGGTGTATAAACGCTAACTTTAACGACATTTTAAGATAAAGTCTTATTCTTTTTGCAGTTTGCTGAACTTAGACAAAAAGCTTTGACCTCATCTATAAGGAGGGTTTGTGTTTATTCGTCACTTCCTTTTCCTCTTGAGGTTTTAGTTAAATCCACAACACAATCAGGTGCTCATTACATGTCGTTTCACTTGTATATCAGAAAGTTTTATCTGGTAAAAAATAATAAAAATAACAATCCAAATTGATTTAAAGGTGGATTCTCAGCTAATGCTTAGTGAGCAGGAGTACAATGAATCCCATCTTCATCCTTCTATGCCTGGCAGGTAAAAACATATTAAGATACAACCAACTTTAATATTTTTTTTTTCCAACAATACTTACCAAAACTAATTTGTAGGTGTTGCTTCGGCCTTTGAGGTCCATCGTTCTCACTCTGATCTCATCGTAAATGCTAATGCCAGAGTGGAGATTTTCTGTACACATGATAAAACTGACTACAGGCTAATGCTGTGGTACCAGCGCCCACCTGGAGACACAGCTATGGACCTCATTGGATTTTTGAATTTCAAGGACAAAACCATGGAGAAGACCTACGAGAAGGAGTTCAACATCTCTGGAGATCTGAGTGTGAATACATTAAAAAACTCCTCACTTGTAATCTCTTCTGCAGAGGAGAAGCACAGTGCATTCTACTTCTGTGCAGCAGGCAAAGCACAATGACAAAAAATCCCTCTGATCTTCACAAAAACTATTAAATGTTTTCATCATCGGTGGTTTCCAGTCAGTCTTGCAGTCAGCTTTATTGTGGTTTATATGTGAATGTATTTTTTTTTTTTACCAAACAGTAAAAATTACCAGTCTTTGATTTATTTAGCTTAATGTTATCAGTCTCATCAAACTCTGCATCTCAGCAGATATTTTCTTTTTACTGCTTTTAGTGCCCCCTAGTGCATGAAGGAAGCAGGATGCCTACTGATTTGCGCTTCAGAAACGAACCTAAACAGTAACATTTATGTGAACATTTATATAGTTATATATAGTACAACACAAACCTCTATTTATTTTTATTTATTTTATTGGGGAATTTATATGATAGACAAACAAAATGTATCCCAGAATCATGCAGTGAAAGCGTAATTTTATATAAGTCTTCATATTCTTATACATAAAAATCTAAAAAAGTATGGTTTATATTTGAACTGTGCAAAACTAATGTTTGGAGCAAAAACAGTGACAATTCTTTTGGAATAAGTTTCAGCTGCTTTGCCTATCTGAAGTCTGAATTTCTTTGGAAAAACATCAGCATCAGCATTTTCATTGGCTTTTGGTCTGGGCTTTGACTTAATTTAGTTTAAGCTAAACCAACCCACTGTAGCTCTGGGTGTAGGTTAAATGTTGTGGTCCTGTTCGAAGGGAACCTCTGCCTTAGTATCAAGTTTATTGAAATCTCTAGAAGTCTCCTGTTCCTACAGGGGGAAAAAAGCTAGAACAAAGCATGATGCAGCCACTACTTTGTTTTACCAGAGAGCTGGTCTTATCAGAGTGATAAGACGATGTATTCTCATTTCTCTTCCATGTAGGCTTTATATAATTAGATACCTAAAGGTTAGGGTTTGTTTGTTTTTTTGTCTGTTAGTAAAGCTATTAAAAAAGAGGGATATTGATGTGCACAACTTAAATTTTAGAAAAAGACAGGATTTGATGGGTGGATGGCTCTTAGTTAAAGCAAAAAAATCAACACAACCGGTTTCTTTAAATATTTTTCATTTCTTGTCCTTATTGAACTGATAAGAAACAACCATTTTTTTCTGCTGTCAAAATCATTTTCAAATATTTAAGTGTTGCTGGAGATGCTACCTCTACCAGCACTATCTGTCTGCATATCAGTCTGTCCCTCTGTCCATTCAACATTCAGAAAAAATGTAATGTATTTGTCATGTTATTTATATGTTCTCTTTGTTTTTAAGCATGCAGAGGGTAAAATGTCACTTTCAGTCTAGAAAATAACCCCATAAAATCTCTATAGTAATGCTGCTATATGCATACAGTAACCTGCTGGAGTACATAGGGACCAATTGTTATTAATCTGCTTCACTTCTGATTCTACTTCATCTTTCCAGTTCTGTATTACTTGTTGCTTCCCCCCTAATTTTATGGTCTGTTTTCCTAATGTCTGTAGCTTTTTGTGGCCTGGAGCTCTGTTTAGCTGTGACACTGTCTTCGAGGAAGATTTCAACTGGGCTGCTGCCATTAACAGCTTTTGTTATATGTGATAGAGATGGGCTTCTTTTTCAATGTTTAGTCCTGCTTTTCTCCTAGACAAAGCTTTGGGGTCCTCTTTTTTGCTCTGCATTATCTCTTTTCATTTAAAAACAGGCTCATAGCTCATCTGCTTAAATGTATTTTGACAGAGCCACCTAGTTTACTATTACCTTATGTAACATTAAAAGTATTTTTGGATCAATGCTTTCATGTATCTTTTGTATTTATGCTTGTCTCCTTGAACCCCTAGTTGGTCTTGGCAGAAAACTGCTCACACTGAGCCTGGTTCTGCTGGATGCTTCTTCCTGGTAAAGGGAGTTTTTCCGCTCTGCTGTTGCTGCTTGCATCCTCGGTGTAAGGGATTGCTGTAGAGTGAATGACAGAATGCAAGCAAATACTGTCACCACATACTCATCCAGGAAGAGCATGTCCTGCAAAGTGAATGTCTTAATGCAAGCAACTGCGTTTTCTCAGTTAGGAAACTTTAAATCAATCTTACTGTATGAATTGTTTCTGTGAAGTGCCATGAGATGGCGTGTGTTGAAAATCAGCACTAAATTAACGGAATTGAAAGAAATAAAATTAGTAGAGGGTTTGTTTAATTGTCGTTCATATATCGGTATATCTAGTGGCTGTTAAAACATGCTATTTTTGTCAACTGTTATTTTTTATACATTATACTTTGACATCCCTTTATAGAATTTAGTCTACAGTTTGAGTTAAGTAGTGTGTTAATAAGTGTCCAGTTTATTTGATTAAAGGGGATATAAAAGGTTTTTATGGGACATCGAATTAAAGAAATATCAGTTTTCCAGCAATCAAGATACTTTATTTATGGAAAACAGAAGACTCATATGCACTCATGGTTATTACATTTCTTTGCTGTTGATTAAAAAAAAAAAAAAAAAGAGTAAGAAGCAGCTTTCAGCTTGTTTCTTCTTCTGCCACGTGACTCTGACATCATTTCCTTGTTTGTCTGCTTGTCTTTTGTGTGCACTCTGCTCCTCAACTTCATCATTATCAAAAGAGATTTTGCATCATAGAATCAAAATGTTGTCCATTTTATTTTTTTGTTACCTTACAGGTTATTTGAATTATTAATCTTTTTAATCAGAATGTATTCTATTTAACTGTTTATTTTAATAATCTTTTTTTCTGTAGGTTTTTCTCTGGGGATTGACATCCATCAGTTTCCTTCTAATGTCATCAGCAAAACGGGGTCTGAAGTTGTGCTTTTCTGCTCACACGAACAGGCCAGTCACAGAGTCATACTGTGGTACCAGAAGTCTCCTGGAGATGAGGATCTGAAACTCATCGGATATGGATATGGACAGTTCAATAACGACAGCGTGGAAGAAACGTTTAAGAAACATTTTAGATTAGATGGAGATTTACAGTCAGCCAAGAAAAACCTCTCCCTTTCTATAGTTGGTCTGAAGGTTGAACACACGGCGACATACTACTGTGCAACAAGGGAAGCACACTGTGACAAACATCCACCAACCCTGAACAAAAACCTCCACCTATGGCACCATCTTATCTCCTCCTTGAATCTAGGTTAAAGACAGAGACTGCAAACTGCTGGAAAGTCTTCACTTGGTTATCATCCAGCAACAGTGTCCAGTAGTTGTCAGTGTTGTAAAGGATTTAGTAGATCTACAATCTAGAGCATCAGCCAGAAGTACCTATACCCCTTTATCATATTGAATCTTGTTTTTTTGTTTGTTTGTTTTTTGGTTGTAATTTTAACACTATAAAATTCTTTATTAGGATTTTATATAAGACACTGTTAGCTGAATTCATAAACTCAGGACAAGAGATAAAGTCTGACTTGACCAAGCAGGATGAGTTCATCCTGGCTCTATTTTTTTTTTTTTTAAGATATGAGTAGTGTACCTAAAAACCTTACACAAATAACAGTAGCACTACCTTAAGATCTTCTTACCCAAGTAAAAGGAGTAAGTATTCACCCAAGGGTAAAATAGTACTTGGTAAAGTACTGCTCAATCACTGATTCTTTGTTGGCTTGTAACTGATTTGATGTTTAAACTTATACTATCAGTCAGAGGGCTATGAGAAAAAACAATGAATAAAAGAATTGCAAAATTACAAATTTGGGCAGAAAATAAAATTATAAATGAAAGTTTTCAGCTTAAACTCATAAAATAATTCCTTGCAGTAGGTAATGCAGATAAGTCGGAAAAGGAGAAAGAACATCCAGGAACAGTATCCTCTTTTTTCTGTATTTTCTACCAGAGTTCAAGGTGCTGGTTGTGGGTGGAGAAATCAGAAATGTTACACAAGAAAGAATAGTGATACTCTCACAAAATATTATTTTTTATTTTTCTGTAAAAGTAAAAAGTTAAGGTCAACTACTCCAAAATGTTTTAAGAAGTTACACGTGTAATTGCAACAAATGTTTAAATGTAAATTAAAGTTTTAGAAAAAATTCATGGAGGGACTGCTTGGAAGTCCTTGAATGAGCCAGGCCTCTCTGGCTGCTTGTTGCTGACCATGCAGTCAGCATCACAGATTATTTTAAGCAGTAAGATGTGTTCAGAGAATGTAATTTACATAATAAATTTAAGATTTTGTTTTTAGGTCTAACCATAACTCAGTCTCTTACCTGATCGTTGGGATTTCTTTTTTTAACCTCCATGTGCTCCAGAGGGTAGTTTTCTTCTTAATGTGTGCACAGTCACACGGTCACTGGAGAATCCTGTTTAAAGGGGGAAAAAAGTCTCTTTACCTGTTCTTAAATGCCTTTTGTGATGTGTAGCCTACTTTATGTTAGGTGCAATATTTTACAGTCCCTCTTCAGTTGTAGTTCTTTACCATGTGTCCTGGGAGAAGTTAAGAACATGTACTTATATCCCCAGAAAAATTGTAACACTTATTTGTCTTGAAAAATGCAAATATGGGCAAAGTATTAGTATGAAGGAAACATGTGTTTGAAGGTATTTTAAGGCCTGACACAGATCTTTCATTAATCCTTTCTATACAGCAACTGTCAATTAAAGGCCTTTCTGTCAAATTTAGAACAGCCGTCTGAATAACACAAACAGCAACAAAGTCCAAATAGGAAATTCAATGTGAATATGTCAATGTGGGGGGTGAGGTTGCTTGAGGACCCAAATGCAGAGATGAGTTTCTGTTGATTTAATGAAACACAAAATTACATAGAACCAAAAAAAAACAGCAAACATCAGGGAAACTCACATGGGGAGCCAGAGACAAGGAAGCAACAGACAACAAGGAACCAGCACTGAATAACTGCACATGGAGAGTATATATGTGAGACAGAACAAACACTGGGGTATTAATCTGATATGGAGCAGGTGTGGATGGAAGAGAATAGAAGGAAGCCAGGGAAAAGGAGAAAGCCACAAGGGGGCAACAGAGAGTAACTTAAGACTGCTTGAATATATTGCAAAATAAACCAAAGATCAACAAAACAGAATATCTGATAGTTAAAAAAGTCCCAAAAGGGGAGAACCATAACCGAATAATGGTATAGTCTACCATAATAATCTTAAAATATTTAAAGCACTCGACTAAGTACCACTTACTATTTGTGTTATTCAATGGTTTATAAAAAATACCAAAGCTTGCAGATATGAAAATGTTTGGGTAGCTAGTATATAATGCATTATTTACAATAAATAAAGAGTGAACAAAACATTATTTTAACTAAAACCTAATAGAACTTTGATATCAGCAGAATAACTATTCTAAAATAAAGTTGAAAAACATAATGTAGACCCCTGGTTAACCCTAGCTAAAACAGTGATCTATTAAAATGCTATGAAGACAACAGATATCTGATTACCTTTTTGATAGAGAGAATACCAAGGTGAAGCCTTCTTAATTGATTGAAAACAGAGGGATACATTCATACAGTCCAAGTGAAGAAAGAAATAAAACAACTGAAAGCCGAGCTGTTGTATGTGTATTTGCCTGTCCTGTGTACTTTTTATTTACGTAAACTATTTTTATTAGTGGAACAATGTTAAACCATAAGCAAATAAGGAAAAAGTTTGAAGTGGGGGGAAACTCTAACGATGCTCTAAAATGAACAAGCCTGACTTGTAAAGCATCCCCACAGCATGATTCTGGCATCAAATTTTAGGACAGAGATGGTGTTTTTTTAGGAGATGACCGCTGTCCTTTTACTTCCTTTTACTTTAGTTCTCTTCAGATATTTTACCTGGCTGTGCTTTAAACCTTTCCACAACGTAACCCTGTTTGCTGTGTTCATCGCTCACCTTGATGCTGTTTGTTTAACAAACAGAAAGATTAAAGCAAATGCACTAAAAAAGATGACTCCTGACAGCACTTTGGATTACATTTGGAGCAATCATTGGTAGTCTAAATATATTGTCAACATATGTTACATCACTGGTTTCATGTGTAGGCAACATGTCATCTGCCACTGGTTTCTCATTTACATAGCATGCTTTGCCATTGCTTCACCCAGTGGATGTATCATGTCATGCCTAGAGATACACATATACAGTACACAGCGGCTAGTCTCATTGGTTTTCCATTAACATAGCACATTAATGCTGTTACTTTCACAGCATGAAAAAGGGATCTAGTCCATCTGGTTTCATGTTAACATATCAGACTATGCTATTGCTTTCACATGGATATTCCGTATTATCCCAATATATTCACACAAACATACAGCAGCATCTGGTCTAATTAGTTTTCCATTAACTTAGCAGGTAATGTCATTGGTTCACATGGACATATTATTTTATGCCATTGTTTCCACATGGAAAAAGGGATCTAGTCCCATTGGTTTCACATAAACAAAGACTCTTATACAACTGAATTAACATGGACATAGCATGTTATGCCAATGGTTTTACATATACATATCATTGTCATGATCTTGTCGCTAATGACTGGCTTGATTACTCATTTTATTCTCCTGCCTAGCTTCATCTAGTTTCTCATTACCTCTCATCTGTTCCACCTGCTCTAGCCTCTATTTAACCAGCCCTCTAACCAATCATCAGTTCCAGATTATTCTCGAACCTTTAGTGAGAGTTCTCTATTGCACCTATTTGTGTTCTTATAGCCTGATCCTGACCCATTCTGCCTTTGAACCTCTGAGCCTTCCTGTTCCTGTTCTGATCTGATCTGTTTGCCCTACCTGTCTTTGGACTGGCTGGATTCTGCCTGTTGACTGAACTGGGAAGTGTTTCCTGATACTGATCTGGATTTCCCTTCTGTACCTCTTTAGATCTCTGATCTTCTGGCTTGGACTCCTGGGAACCTCTTTGACACCAGCCTTGGCTTCGCCTTCTAGATAGTCCTGCCTTCCTTCATCAGGTGGATCTGTTCGTCATCCTTATTTTCATGAAAAAACAAAATCAGATGGAGTAATAGTTCCACAAATATCACATTGAAATGGCATGTGGTTACATTGTTTTCATGAGGCAATACCATCTAGTATCAACAATTTCACATAGACATGGCCTGCTATGCCACTGGTTTCACATGGACATTGAATCTAGTCCCATTTGTTTAACATTAGAATAGGCTCAGTCCCATTGGTTTCACATTGATCTAACATTTTTCATCATTTCATATCTCATTTGTTTTGTCTGTTATGTCATTCAACTCATGTAAATAGCATCTAATGACATTTGTTTTCTTTTGTTTGCTTTTGTTGGGGGTTCAAATGGTAGAATCTCAAAAATCAAGACGCCTTCACTCGATTATCTTATTTGCCCAAAGGACGGGGGAAACCATTTATTTTTACAGATCAGATTCACACACTGTCTTCAGTAGACCATTTCAGCGCTTCACATCATAACAGACAATCTCGGCTTTTTCCAAACTCTCATTCCATCTCAGGCTGGTTTTTAGTTTCAGTATTCTCAATATAGTCTCAACACCTTCCACCCTCTGCACCAGACTGTAGAGGAGCTGAGCAGCTCCTTTAGTGAAAGACTTTTACACCTTGTCTGTAAAAAGGAGCACTACCGTATGTCATTCATCCCTGCCGCCACCAGACTCAACAGCAACAGCAATACCTTGCGCAAAGTATAATGTGCAATTTTACTATTTGATACCCTGTGCAATAACCTGATTCTCTGTTTAACGCCCAGTGCAATAACTATTTATATAAATATAAATACCCTCTATATAAATACCCATGTAAACACCCTGTGCAAAAACAACTGTTATATGGAGACGCACTGTATATACTGTATTTATCCCATGTGCCTTTTTTCTTCCTTTGGCACCTTCTTCTTCTGCTTTGACCATTTGAGCTGATGTAACAAGTAAATTTCTCCACTGTGAGATCAATAAAGTCAATCAATCAATCAACACCCTCTTGTGCAACTTGTTTTACTTTGATATATCATGTAGTACCATTAGTTTCACATGGACATAGCATCTAGCTCAATTGGTTTCACATGTACATACCACCTAGTTTTTTTGGATTCCCATGGACCAGTCCAGTCGCACCTGTTTCACATGTTTATATCACCTAGTCCTATTGGTTTCACATGGACATAGTGTCTATTCCCACTGGTTTTACATAAACATAGCATCTAGTCCCATTGGGTTTCACATAGATAAACCATCTAGTCCTACTGGTTTCACATGGAGCTTATCTGTGGCAGATTTAAGGATGGCAGTCTCATGCTGTCAGTACATTTAATTGAAGGACAAAAAAAAAAACATAAACAGGCATTACATGCAATTAAAGGGTTACCTGGGAATTTTCAAGAGATTTTCTACTTAGAATTGCATCTAACCAAATGAGTTTTGCTTGAACATTAACATGCAATCCCATGAGTTTCCACATGGGCATCACATTAGAGAATGAGGAAAATATTTAGCATTCTGTATCGCAAGGTGATCATGTGACTGTGGTTTGTTCTGTTAAAGAGAGACACAGCTTCATCACATTCTTCATTCAGCTGAAGCAAGACCACCACTGACATGTTTGCAAGTGTCAGTTATTTTTTACTTTTGATACACTCAGGTAGCTGATTTATGAGAAATTCACAAATGTGAATACTTGAGATTTAATATTGTGATTTCTTTTTACATTATTTTACTCTGGTTTATATTATTATGAAAGACATTGTGACGTTACTTTTTATGTCCTACAGGTTTGTCTGTAGTAGTTCTTCAGTCTGAAGATCTAATATCTCCTCCAGCAGTCGATGTGACACTGAAGTGCAAAATGGGAGAAGGGTACAGCATGAGCAGCCAAACCATGCTTTGGTACCGACAAAAGGGCCATGGAGCACAAATGGAGTTTATCCTTAAAGAATACGAAGAATCTGTTGGAAATTATCGCTCTTCGCTTGAAACTTCAAAAAATTTGTTTTCTCTTCAAATCCTGAAGTTGTCTGTGAACGACAGCAGCATCTATTACTGTGCTGCCAGTCACAGTGATGCATACTGATCTAACAGTCTTACAAATAACCAGACCTTCTGTTGCACTCAGGCAGGAAGGAGCTGTGGCTTTTTTGGTATTAAAGCATCTCAACAAATTGTTTAAAACATTGTTTATCATATATTTCCCATCAAAGGGAATTAAACTACAGTTTTACATGGATTATAGATATTTATATTAACAAAAGGGAGTATTTTGGTTGGTGTATTAAAGAAGACATCTTCTACAACAATAGATGACTTTTTAAATTTTTTTTGCAGTTTTCAGTTGCCTTTAATAAAAATATGCCTTTTTTGTTCAGTTTATGATACACATGTATTTGCCATCAGTATATACCTATCTAGGAGAATCCAAATCTTTATGAGAAAATTAAGCAAATTGCTCTCAAAAGCAACATAAAACAAGGGAAATAATTTTAACACATATTTGCATATTCAACAACAAATTTTAAAATATGATATAAAATATACTTATCTAGATTTAAGATCATGAAATTTCATTTGAAAAATGAGTGATATTGTTGGGCCTAATCTATGTCTATAAACATAAACCTATACAATTAAATAATGTGAAGGAAACTCAGAATGAAAATTAGAGTAGCATTAGATAAAGATTTAACATCATTAAATGGATGGATGGATCTCTTCCTCTTCTTTCTTGAGATCTTTTGCATAATTTTGTGTATAGAAATGTTGTCGGGGTAAGTTAAAATATTAGAGTTGCCAGTTTCTTGAGAAACAAGACCAAGATTAAAGTTAAAATCCTTCAACACTATAGCAGACTTTAGGATAAACATCAAAGCAGACCACTGATCAGCTAATTTAAATTCAAAACGAGTTGAAATTAAACATAGGATTTTAAGTAGAATATAAACCAAGATCAAAAGGTTATTTGCAGCAGGTACGATTTTACCAAAATCTCTCTTCAAAATCATAGTATGGCATTAATAAAATACTTGAAAATGTTTTTTAACAAACCAATACATTCATGTTTTGTTTGTTTTGTTGTTGTTTTTTTTTTGTCTCATCAACTTTTTTAACTTAACCTAACATCAGGAAATGTTAGTACTATCCCTTTAAGTCTGCTTGCCTCTAGGAGACTGCAGCCATAGAGAGAAGCTCATTCATGACTCCTGAGGAGGAGGGTCAGATCTTTTTTTGCTGCATTATTTACAGCCGCACGAGTTAAAACAGCAGATTCAGCTCAGAAATGAAGCTAGTTTTGATAGTGCTTTTATTATTCCATGGTAAGATAGCAAATTAATTGCATTTGTTTTGTTTTGTTTTTTATTACCAATGTTATTGACTTTTTTTCTTGTTTTCTAGATTTTTCAGATGCTGTAAATATTCACCAGCCTCCATCTGAGTTGGTCAGAGATGGAGAACAGAGTGTGACCCTCAAGTGTGAGCAGGACAGTGATCAGATTTACTACATGTACTGGTACAGACAAGCAAGCAGTGGGGAAATGGAGTTAGTGGCGTATTCTGCTAGTAAAGATGCATCAAGCATTGAAGCTCCATTCAACAACTCTAAATACACCATGACCCGTCGAGAGCTGCGGAGAACTGAGCTGCAGATTCACCCTGCTGAGGCCAAAGACTCTGCTGTGTATTACTGTGCTTATAGCACCACAGTGCTTCAAGCTGCTGCAGAAGCTTAACAATTACCTCTGGAGGAAACAACAGACGTTTTGGAAGATGGGGGTGAATAAAAAAAAAAAACATTAGAAGAAATATCAGAACTGCATTATGTAAAAATGAAATAATACCAGCTTAAAACAAACAAATCTATAAAAACTCCTAGGTTTTTGGAGGCAGATCTGCCTGTTTGGTGCTCAGTCATGTTTCCTCAGAGCCACAAAGCTGATTTGTTCAGATAGCAGAGCAGGTGTCAGTATTGTAATATTTTTTCCATCTATAATATCACCCCCACTTCCTCCTCATGTCTGTCTGTTTTCCTCTGTGATTCAGTCTGTTCGTTATGGTTTTACCATGATCCTTCATTACCCCTTGATAGACCGAAAAGGAAGTTCAGATGAGGATCTTTTACTGACCTCTACTGGTTTTATATGAAATTACAAGTTGATTATCTCATAAAATCATCCATAAAGACTTTTACTATTACACTATTAGAAATTATCTTCATATAAATGTTGAAAAATTGCCCTTATAAACAAACAAAAAAAATCAAAAGCTGTTCTGACGTTTATATCGTCTTTGGTGATGCTAATAATATTCAATGTTTATTGAAAATATCTTTTCATGCTCAATGATTTTCACATTCTTCAAACAAAAGCATATCGTAAATAAATCTCCCCTTTATTCTGCCATACATTATTGTCCATCTGTTCTGTTAAGATCCCAGTAGTTTGTTAACTTTACAAGAAGCATCATGGAGTTAATGGGAAATATGCAAACAGGTCTGGGATACAGTTGTACACAGAATTAAAGTGGCATTATGTTATAAAACAATATGAAATACTTTAGATGTCTAACAGAGTTCTGTTATGAAAGGAGTTTGGCAATACCTCCAAGCTTACCACGTCATCTCTAGACTCCCCCCAACATTTTACCTGTTCCAGTTCGCCTACTGACAAGGACTGAGGACGCCATCTCCTCCGCTCTTCACCTAAGCCTGGCACACCTAGAGGGAAAGAGCACCCATGCAGACGACACTATGGTGGGGGGCCTGACAATGACCAGGACTACAGAGAGGAGGCGGAGCAGCTGGTGGGCTGGTCCAGAGACCGGAACAACCGGATCCTGAATGTGGAGAAAACGAAGGAGATCATCGTTGACTTCAGGAAGAACCGGCCTAACCATGCCCCACTGGTCATGAACAGCTCAGCTGTAGAGGTGGTCAGCAGCACCAAATTGCTTGGGTTGCAAATCACAGACACCCTCACCTGCAATGTAAACACCACCTGACTGGTCAAAAGGGAACAGAAGTGCATGTACTTCCTGCGGTGGCTGAGGAGAGCCCACCTGCCCCCATCCATCCTCACCACCTTCTACAGAAGCACCATAGAGAGCGTTCTGACCAGCTGTCTCAATGTATGGTGTGGAGGTTGCAGCGTCTCATACTGGAAGTGACAAGGGAGGGGAGGAAAGCAGAGAGGATAATCGGGGCTCCTCTTCCCTCCATTAAAGACATTTCATCTAAGCTTTGCGTATCCCGAGACATAACATCATCAATGACCCCTCACACCCCCATGGACTGTTCTCCCTGCTGCCCTCTGGGAAGAGGCTTCGCAGCATCCGCTTCATGTCCAGTAACAACTTTTTCCCCACTGCCATCAGTCTGTTGAACTGTTAAACTCTAAACTGGACTTCCCATCACACTTGCAACATTATTTTGCACTACCAATGTGCTAACCTTTTGTATTCCTTTTAAATAGGACACAACTCAATGTTTCTACTGCATTTTGCACCATATTTATTTCACACTGCATTGAACCTTTCCATATTAACGCCCTTTTGCAAAATTATTGCATAATAAGTGGTTTCCTTTTCTCCTATACTGTTAACATCCTGATCACTGGTGCACTCTATCGTGGTAATGTTCATTTCACTGTTGTAAGCTGTAAGCACCATAATTTTGTTTGATATACACTCTCTGTATACAAGATGACAATAACATTTTTCTATGTCTAAGTCTAATATATATACATTTTATCTAACAGGATAGCAGCAATCAGGGAAGTAGCAAATATCCATGGCTCTGGTGGGAGAATTAGCTATGTACTCCATAAATCTAGTCCTGTTTGTCTTTTAAGAGAGGTCATCAGAAAACAAATTTTATCCATACCTAAAAAAAAAGCCTCATGTTGAGCATCATAAGACTCTGAAAACAACTTTTTAAGTGTGAGAGTGCTTTTATTGGCAAAGAAAGAAAACCTGGTTAGAATTTATAGAAAAGGGGAGAGAGGTAAATACAGATCCTGATGTAAGGGCAGAAGTTTTTCCAAGCATTTTGCTTAGAAAGATGTGCAACACTTTTTCTACATGTGCAGAGCTGTTAAGGCAAACCCCAGAAGAAAGTTACTTATAAATGTTAAAGAATTTTATTCCAACTTAAAAAATGTTTCTCCTTTTATCATACCAGTTGTTTATTTTTTAAAAATCCAACTAGAAATCATAAGAGCAACACTTTTTTTGCTCATTATATACATCAGTGGATGTTTCTATCTTTTAAATGATTGGCTGAAGAGTCGTGACCAGCAGAGATGTCACTTCCTGTCAGTAACTTCAAACAAACAAAAACAAGCAGCAGCTTCCTGTCCTCTGTTCTGCCTTCTTTTCTTAGCTGTCACAGAAATAGCAGCAGCCAGCTTGGAGCTGCTCCACCGTCAGTCAGCCCAACCTGCACAGCTGCTCCCACAGAGACACACAGAGATGGAGGCTGAGATACGGAGAGAGGGGCTGGGGGAGGAGGAGAGGGGGGAGAGAGAGAGGCATCAGGTTTTTGTATGATGCTTTTTTACCGTGGGGACAGGGGGCCACGGTGATACAACCCCATAGAGCCGCCGTACAAAAACCTCCTTCCATTAACATCCATGATATAGGCGGCTGAGTGGATCTCAGAAGGCCTCAGAGAGCAGGAAAAGGGTCAATCTGAAGGTGGGCAGGATGGAGGCTCAGCTTGGCCTTAAAAAATGATCTAATATGTAGAATCTGGATCAGAAACATGTTTTAGAAAGAGATGTTTGACTTTGTTTGTGGAGCGTTTGGATCATGGGTTCCTCATCTAAAACATTACAGCTTCTTTAAACATTATGAAGCTCATCCTGCATGTTTAACCCTCCCTGATAATCTGTGTTATTACAGCATGTCTGAAGAAGATGATTCTGGAAAGATTTTGGACTTTTTAGTCAAGAAGAGAATCAGTGTGACTCTGGAAGTGAAGCTTACTTTGGAAAAGGAACAAAACTAACAGTTCTGGGTAAGTGCGAATTTTAACACGTTCAGTTCAACAGATTAGATGTGAATTTAATGGAAATCTTAGATTAAAGAAATAACATATATTGGGAGTTAAAAAGCTGTGATGTATTAACCTGAAGTTAAAGCACTGTGACCTACACTGATCCTGCTTACTTTGGTGGAGGAACCAAACTGACAGTTTTAGGTAAATATTTCATTTTAATACAGTTTTAATAGATGCTGCTTTGATTAAAAATTCGGTCCAGAAGAATTTGTCTCTAAAGGTCTTTGTAAAGATAATTGTGGTAGAAAAACAGTTCTTGTTCAGTATTGCTGCACTGTGACAATGCTGAAGCTTACTTTGGAAAAGGAACTAAACTCACTGTTTTGGGTAAGTTGGACTTCTAACATGTTCAGTTGGTTTAGGTTTTATCAAAAGTTTCCCTTGAATCAAACTAGAATGAAAAGTTGTTCAGTTTTAACATTTAATATATTGAGCTGGGCTGAAAACACTGTGAACTATGGAGAACCTGCTTACTTTGGCCGGGGAACCAAACTTACAGTTTTAGGTAATTATTTTTGCTTTATTACTGTGTTTTAATAGGTTTCATTTAATAAACCTTAATACTTTCGGATCATTGGGTCAATTATGGTAATTTTATTATAAATCTGACTGTTAAAGAGGTTCATGTTCAGTATTGCTGCACTGTGACAATGCAAACGAAGCTTACTTTGGAAAAGGAACTAAACTCACTGTTTTAGGTGAGTACTGATTTAAGTAAATCCTTATTTTAACCCATAAAGGTGATTAAATTAGCAGCACTTATGCAGGTGTTTCCAGATTAAATTATATTCAATGTTTTTTGATATGAAGCTGAAGCTCTGTGGTGACAGAGAAGCTTATTTTGGCCAGGGAACAAAACTGACGGTTCTGGGTGAGTAAAGCCTACATAAAGTTAATCAGAGTATTAAAATTACATTCAGGGGATGATTATTGAACATTAAAGCATTGAGCTGTTTTTAGCTGTAAAATTACATTAATGAACAAAGTAAAAGCTGCCTGTTGGAGTGTTTTATACACTGATCCTCTGCACTGTGCCACTGGTGCAAGTGAAGCTTACTTCGGAGGAGGAACGAAATTAACAGTTTTAGGTAAGAGTCATAAACTTTATCGTTTACCGTAGACAAGATTTTATAAACCCTCATTAATCTGAGCAACTATAGAAATATATTTAATCAAAGTTTAGCTGCTCTCGAGCTCCTTGCTACCAGAGCTTTTTGTTCTGAACATTAACTGCTGTGCCAACTATGAAGCTTATTTCGGCCAAGGAACAAAACTGACTGTTCTGGGTGAGTAAAGCCTCCAAATCTGATTCCTTTAAAAGCAGTCAAAGCTGATCTCTATCCTGTAAAGTCTTTAGATTTATTTCAAACTTCATTTGGGTTTTAAACAGTGAAAAGTTTGTTTTGGTGAAAGCAAAGACCAATGCATGATTTAAACAAACAAACAAAAAAACTGAACATGAACTAAAAACTAGAAATTAATACAATGAAGCAAGAAGAACTTGGGGTTATTTTGAGGACTGATCTGGTGCACTGTGGCTTTGGTACTGGCTCTGAAGCTCATTTCGGAGCAGGAACAAAGCTGACCGTCTTAGGTAAGAAACACGTTCAAAAACAACATAAAAAACAAACTCAGCTCCTAGTTTACCTGATAAACTCAAACTGTGTCAGAAAGTTGCTTGTTTAACTGGATAAAGGGGTCATTTCTGTCTGTATAGAGGACTAACATTCAGCTTTATGAGCTTTTCAGTCTTGCGTGGTATAAAATAACCTTAAAATAAACAGAAGAGCAAAGGGAAATCAGCCTGTTGAGCTGTTTCTAGCACTGATTCAGCTCACTGTGTGAGCACGTCTGAAGCTATCTTTGGTGGAGGGACTAAACTGACTGTTTTAGGTAAGAAACTGTTTCCACATCTAAATAACTGCATAGTACGACATGCATGCTTTACAGCTCGACCAGTATTATAAATACTAATAGAACTTTAAAGCTGTTAAAATGCTCAGACCTAGTGTAATAATATTAATGCTAAGTGAAGCTAAACAGATTTGTGCAAACAAATCATTGAGTTATTTGTGTGTAATAAGTTCAGAGACGTCCTGAAAAGATCTTAAAAATCAGAAAGAAAGTCAGCATCTTTTCTGAGAGCTGTACGAAGAGTTTGTGTTGCAGCCTGGAGTCTCTGTGCTCCTTCGGCAGCGAAGCTTATTTTGGAGCTGGAACCAAACTCACTGTTTTAGGTAAGAGAAAACTGAAATATAACCAACATCAAAGTGTTTCATTATTTTGACCAGGCTTTGTTTAAAATACAGACACCTAATGCATGAATTCAGCTTATCCTGAAAGCCCTTTCCATGTAATCCAGTCAGATATGGGCAGCCACTAAATGTTTGGCTCAAAGCCCAGATTATTAGTCTGTCAGCCAGTTTTTATCAGCTCTCTGAAACACTGTGACTACCAATACTGAAGCCTACTTTGGAGCTGGAACTAAACTCACCGTTTTAGGTAAGACCAAATAGATTGCAGTGGGAGAAGCTTTCAGTAATGGATTGTGTATGCAGTGCTTTTATTTTCCTAAAATCACCAGTAATCCATTAATTCAGGCTCATGTTTACATAAATTAATCTCTTCTGTACTGTTTTGATGCCACTCTGGGCTGGTTTGCACAGAAAGGTCATTTGTTTGAAATAGAAGAAAAAAGAAAGTCTTTAGTTTTTACAGCTGCAGTTTTTTCTGCAGCCATGTCTCACTGTGAACAACTTAAACCCTGCTTATTTTGGCAGAGGCACCAAACTCACTGTTCTAGGTAAGAAACAAAGAAAATTTACTTTTTTATATTATATAATATATTATATTAATCTTGAGGAGTGACTGGAAAGAAAAGAAATACACTGATGAGAGCTTTTAATGGTATAAGGTCTATAAGGTGATGAGCTTAATAGGATGTTTTTTAATTAAAACTTCTAAAACAGGCCAGAAAATTATTTTCGGTATAGCTGTCTTGATGCAAACGGTTCAGTTTTTCAGAAAAATAATACGACAAAGTAGTTGTTGCTTTGCACTGCTGAAAGCTTCAACAGCTTTATCTGCAGCTGTTTCTCAGTGTGAGCGGCTACGATCCTGCTTTCTTTGGTCGAGGCACAAAACTCACGGTTTTAGGTAAGAAAACAGACTCTTAAAAGGAACTTTTTCTCTAAACTTTACTATGAAGAAAAGGGCTGGAAAGAAAAAAAAGCTGTAACCAAAACAAGCCAAAGGCATCCAAAACATCCAAAAACATTAAATATGAGTTTTTCTTTAGGCTGCTCCATGTGGTTTGGTTTAGTTAAAATAAGAGAAAAAGGCAGCATTTAGCTCTCAGTGCTGAAAGCTTCAGCAGCTTTTCCTGCAGCTGTTTCTCAGTGTGAACAACTATGATCCTGCTTACTTTGGTCGAGGCACAAAACTCACGGTTTTAGGTAAGAAAACAGACTCTTAAAACTCTTTAATTTCCCTTTGAGGAAGGGTTCTAGAAAGAAAAAAATGTTGTAGCCATAAGTAAAACTTGCAATGTTTTGTGTGGAACAAAGTATTTGATTACTGTCAGTAATTTCTTTATTTATATCTTCTCAAAGAGGCCGAAAACTTATCTTTAGAATCAACAAAAATGTTTTATATTACTGCTTTAGTTTGGCTGCTCCTTGTGGTTCAACTTTAGTTAAAATGAGAAGAAAAGGCAGAATTTAGCGATCAGCACTGAAAGCTTAAGCAGCTTTTCCTGCAGCTGTTTCTCAGTGTGACCAACTACGAACCTGCTTATTTTGGCAAAGGCACCAAACTCACAGTTTTAGGTAAGAAAACAAGAAATTCACCTACTTATTATTTGCAAAACTGTCTTCCTTCAAAAACAAATTCAAAGTTTACAGTTTTGATCTGTTACTACAACTAAATTGATCTAGGGACGGATCTGGTGAACTATAACTAGAGGAAGCTCATTCAGAAACATTTGTTTTGTTGGTCCTTCAAAGTACAAACTTAGAGGATTTGTGTCATTAAAGCAAAGTTATGGAGAACCTCAGACCTCCTAGATCTAAATCAGTTTTATAACGGCAGCTGAGCTCTGTGCTCCGGCTCATATCCTGCTGAATTTGGAGCTGGAACCAAACTAACAGTTCTTGGTAAGACTATCTAAGAAAAAAATTTAAAATTGCTATAATTAGTGTGTTAATATGTAAATATGTGGCTGTTTTCATGTCATAATTCTGGGATTTGTCTGTTTAAGAATGAAAAAGTAGTTTGTAGGTAGTAGTATCTACTAAAGCACTAAAAGTAGTAGTGCTTATTTTTTCCTCTTCTCTTTTTAGTTCTGCACTTCTAAATATTAATGTTTCATAACTTTGTTGCTTGTATGCCTTTATAGATCTAAAACTGGCAAAAGTGAAATTTAGACAATAAATTCAAACTTTAAAAAGATGAGTTGATTAAACAAAATGGAACAAGGTAGAGTAAACAACAGATTAAATGTTTGGAAGCTGCTTCTTCCTCTCAGTCTTACACCAAGCGTGTAAAAACCTATTTAAGCTTAATAATACTTAGGTTTTCACTGCTTTTATGGATATGCATGATTTTTCAGAAATTTATAGATGTTATAATTTATTTTAAGTCATTTCTGAGTAAAATAGAACAGCAAGAAAAGTTCCGCTTTGTTTTAGAAATGAAAATATTCAAAAGGGTCTCAGCTATAAAAGGAATTGGTAAATACTGTATTTATTACTGTTATTAAAGTGAGAGGAGGATACTTTGGAAGAAAGGAAATTAAATTAGTATAAAAGCAAATAATTATTTGTTATTTAAAAATTAAGATGTTCCATATATAATATCATGTTCAGATTGTTGCAAAGTATACCGAGAAACTTGTCCTTTTTGGTATAAACATTTGGTTCTTTACTTTGCAAACCATTTGCTCATAATGCAATGATATAATATTGAGAACCTATTAGGGCAGAGATGACAGCTCAGAGATATTGGTTCCATTTTATGACATCCATGCCCAACTCCACCACTTCCTGAACTTCCACCATCTCCTTCCTGTCCTTCATTATAGGACAGACTGATTAATACAGTTGTGTCTGGTCATGGCTACTGAGTTCAGACACACCTGATTTAGTTAGTTTGTCCAGTAATGAAAGAAAGTAAACAAAGGAGCTGGCTGAAGTTCAGGAGGTAGTGGAGATGGGCATAAAGCCCATTGGAACGCAAGAACCTGATGGTCTGTTGTTAGTACGGATGTTATTGCATGTCTATTAACATTTATAGATAATAAAACCATAGATTTGAAGAAAAAACTTCCTTACATCAGGTCAAAGTTCACACATCAAAATATTATAATCAGGTCTTTCAGATAAAGACATTGATATCACACCCCCTAAAGTGAAGATTTAAACTAATCCTAAACCTTTTTTGAAAGAGATAAAACCAGTTCCATTTTATTGGAACCTCTTTATTGAGATGATAGTCTATTATTAGTTCAGGTGTTGTACAGATGTTGTTACATGTCAATTAACCTTTATATATCATAACAACTAAATATCATAACTTGGGCGATTGCAGCTCTAATTTATTGATTTTGTTTCTTTTTTCAGAGCGCGAAGTAGCATATCCTACAGTGAACGTTTTCTACCCTTCTGGAAAGGAATCCAGAGACTATGACAGGAAGAAGAAGAGGACCCTGCTCTGCGTTGCCTCTGATTTCTACCCAGATCATGTCAGCGTGTACTGGAAGCGCAATGGAAGGAACATCACTAATGGTGTGGCGACTGACCCTGCAGCCAAGAAGGGGGAAACATATTACAAAATCACCAGCAGGCTGAAGATCCCTCTGGAGGAATGGGTTGATCCAAATAATGAATATACCTGCATCGTCAACTTCTTTGATGGAAAGCATTACACTGATTACAATAAACCCATTAAAGGTTTGTTCCTTTAACACATAATTATCCTAGATCTATTATTTCAGGTCATGATTCTTGTTTTCTAATCATGTCCACTTTCAATTCTTCCAGTTCGTCCTAATGAGAGAGCCATCACTCGAGGTAAACTGCAACATTTCTCTCTTCCTCACTCTAAAAGCAAATAAAATGTTGCCTTCAGCACCTTCATGGGATTGAATTAACTGATCTGTTTGTTTAACCAAACCTTCTGACTCCCTGCAGGGTATTACATGAGGGTCACCCAGAACGCCAAAGTGTCCTACACCGTCCTGATCGTGAAGAGCTGCGTCTACGGAGCCTTCGTCTGCTTCCTGGTGTGGAAGCTTCAGGTCTGTCCAAAACATCCCTGTTGGTTCTGATTAACTGTCCTGTGAGTAATAGAGAGCTTCTGACACTGAGGGACAATATTCTTTTGTTTTCCAGGGAAAACGTGGAAAGCAGAGAAAGTGAGAGCTCAACTGAAGCTTTAACTCTTCCTCCCTGTACATAATAAACCTGATCTGATGTTATTCTATAAAGCCCTTTCATTTTACCTAACAGATCTAATGAGTGGTTTACAAAAACAATTTTTATTATTTCAGATACTTTCTAAGTAAATGCTTGTTTCTATCTATGTGCTCTTTAATAAAGTTGTTTTAAATAGTGTTGGATTTCTTTGTTTTCTCTTTTTATCTGCAGCTTGTTTGGACAATTATTTTAAAATAAATTATTTAGGTGTTAAAATTGATGTTTTAATATTGAAAAACAAACTTAGATGAGTAAGAATCAGACATTTCTCGGAAACAGCATAGAATCTGACTAAAAGGAAAATCTCATGTTGACAACAGTAAGTAAAACTATTTAACTAAAGTGTCATTTATTCCATAGATAGTGTTAGATATTTATAGCTGACTTCTGAGAAACAGCTCATTTTCTCTCCCCATGTACTCAGATCAAGGTTCTCTGTTTTGCAAAACAAGAACTTTTTTTCCGTTAGTTCAAACATTTTAGTAGGAGTGTGAGAGTGAGTGTGCCACATGAGAACAGGAAGTCAGCATTGTCATGTGTGCACAAAAGAAGGTCAGAGATGCTGGGGGAGGAAGATGCAGCGAGAGCTGAAAAACTGCAGAGGAGCAAAGTGCGACAGCGAGGAGCAGGATGTGGTCGCAGAGTAGCGTACAGCTCCGTCTCCATGCAGAGAAACAACGGAGGTGCAACCCTCAACTTTTACCGCAGCATCCGGCTCAATGAGTGCACCTGCATCCGTCCAATCAAAAAAAAAACACCCCCACACACATTCACACTGTTCATCTCCCAGCAACCAGCTGGCAAAGGCTAAATTTCTGTGTCAACTGAAGCTAAAAATGTTTCTGTAAACGTTGAATTATAAACAGCAGCTGTTTGTTGTGATCGGATCCATTTTTTTTTTTGAGGGGGGGGGGGGGGGGGGGGGGGGGGGGGGGGTGTAAAAAGTTCCAGAAGCACATGTATTTTTAAAAGAAACTGAGGAATTTGAATGTTGACAACATTTTCATGTTATATTGAATCTATACTTTGCTTTGCTTTGAGTATCAGAACTTGTAGGACTCACCGACACCCTCTATAAGAAGGGCACTCTGGACTCAGTGGAGGAAGTGGCTGAGAGGAGGGTGCTGTCCAAGCTTACAGTACATCCATCATGAACAACACCTTGATCTCCCTGCAGCAGACTGTAGAGGAGCTGAGCAGCTCCTTTAAAGAGTTATACAACCTGTTTGTAAAACGGAGCTCTACCACAGGTCTTTCATCCCTGCTGCCTTTTGACTTTACAATTCAGCACTATAACTGCAAAGGTTGTGCAATACCTAATGTGCAATCACTATTTAACACCCTATGCAATAACCTGTTTTATATTTCATACCCAGTGCAATAACTATATATATATATATATATATATATATATATATATATACATACTTGTTTATATAAATACTTATTTGATACCATGGGCAGTAACCCTGTATAATAATCCTGCTAAATTAGAGACTTCAGCTGTATATATATATACTTGTTTATATAAATACCTATTTGATACCATGGGCAGTAACCCTGTATAATAATCCTGCTAAATTAGAGACTTCAGCTGTATATATATATATATATATATATATATATATATATATATATATATATATATATATATATATGGACACATTGTATATACTATATATACCCCATGCACCTTTCCCTTTTTCGACACCTTTTTTTTCCTTTTTGGCTATTGAGTCAATATAACAAATACATTTCTCTCCCGTGAGATCAAGTCTATCAATCAATCAATCAATCAATTAATCAATCTGTTGTTATATCCTGTCAAAATGCAGGACTAATATTCTGAAACATTCATTTTTGCCTGCTTGTAACTGACATGTTTTTTGTTTGTTTTATTTTTGTTTTAATTATCAGGTAATGATTGAGTAAGAGATTGCTCCTGAAGGTTTATGTATTACTGTTAGCTGTGCAACTTAAATGGCCCTAAGGGGACAAGGAAGACATTTTGAATCCTATACTTTTCAAACTTTCATCCTTCACATCGTCAGGAATTTTTTGCCCCAGCCCATCTTCCCGTGTTTTAATTCTGGTTATGTCTATATTCGTATTGTTGAAGATCTTACAGAAGTATGACAAATGCCCTGCTTGATAGGGTTAAATGTATTTAGTGCTTAAAGAATTTTGATGCTCAGGTACATTTTTACAAAACTATATTTTTGCCTAACGTCTGAGATCTATGTTGGATATAAGTGAGCGAAACATGCAAAGGTTCTGTTTATGTAGAACAACCTATAATTTATGTGTAAGAACCTATAAAACAAATGCCTTTTGGTCTCCATGGCTCAAGAAAGCATCACTAAGACCTTAAGCTAAATAATGCTTTTCACAAAAAAAGACTATCAAAACAAACCTCTGTGTCATATATATATATATATATATATATATATATATATATATATATATATATATATATATATATATATATATATGTATATATATATATATATATATATATATATATATATATATATATATATATATATATATATATATATATATATATATATATATATATACATATATATATATATATATATATATATATATATATATATACATATATATATATATATATATATATATATATATATATATATATATATATATATATATATATATATATATACATATATATATATATATATATATATATATATATATATATATATATATATTTTTTTTTTTTTTTTTTTTTTTTTTCTTCCACCATGACAGAAATGATAATGGGAAGCCCAACAATACAATTTAAAACCTGGTAAGAAGAATCCCTGGTTTACATAAGGGTTTGTTGGAGATTCTAGCATTTCTATATCATCAAATAAAGGGAATTATATTTTCAGAGATGTTAAAAGTGTGTTTAGTATAACCGATTTTTGAGATTTCCCTAAGGAGGCTTTTTTCATCCATTTCTGTGTTCAATGTGCACATTTGGAGTTTTGTCTTTTAACACTTATTATTTTTTTTTTTGATCTCCTTAAATCCCCACAGCATGGCATGATCCCTGCCTGACCGGTGAAATGAAGAAACAGATTAAAGAAAACCTGTCGGAGAACATGAAGCAAACTGAACTAAAAACTTAACTAAAAAAAAAAGCCATACAGGAGGACCTGCTGCTTCAGGATCTGGACAACTTGCAGTAACTGATGCAAACACAAGTTCAGCTCTCTGGCAGAGACTCCTGGAGGAGAACATCTAACCATTAGTAAAAATACCTTAAGATAAATCGGATTAGGTTAGATGTAAATAAAGGAAATACAATGATATATTCAAGTCACACAAGAAAGTCTTAAAATCTGTTTTACTTTCTAAAGAAAGAAAAAACAGAAGACATTAACTGACAATTAAATGCGTTTATATTTGCATTCAAATGAACTTTCCATGGATTTCTCTTGTAAACCACTAAAAAACAAACAGTTTTTGCCATTTCAAAAGAATTTATATCGCTAAAGAATATTCTTGGTTTTCTTTAACAGTTTTTTTCTTTCTTCCTGTTTTCTTCAGTTAAACATAAACCATCTGAGATGCAGTAGAAAGATGTTTCATTTAGACTCTAAAACTGAGCCACAGAATCTTAAATAAGATATAAGATTCTGTGTATATATACTGATGTATTTACAACCCTAAATGCAGAGACTAGTAATAAACATTAATGCCCCATAAACAGAATACAGACCATGAATAAACATTAATGGTCTTTAGTCTGAGGGGCTATAATGCCCTTTGCCTCACAATTTATTTTTTTTTACATTTTATTAAATTCAGAATGTTTAACTTAGATCTAATAAGACAGACTAATAATTTTTGGTCAATAACAGAGAAGAAGAACTAAAATCATTAAAGATTTTTAATGTCAGCTTTTTTGGGGGTTAGTTTTATGGCCATAATGTATGTTTTCAGCAGCCACTTGCCACTAATAACAGTCGTTATTAGTCACTAATAACAACAATTTAATGGTCTATCACATCCGGAACAGGTGGTTTTCACCCCCTTTAGCTTTTACCCTATGAAATCCAATTTTACAGTATTTCTTTTTTCGACTTGACCTAAATATGATATACGTAGAGCTCCTCTTTTTTAAATTTGTCGAAGCCTAATTTAAGATGCTTAGGGAGACCTCAGAGATTGGTTAGTCTGTTTGTTGCCATGTGAACTAAACAATTTTTCCTGCACGTCACCCCTGAATGTTAGAATAGCCTCATAGAAACGGTTGCACCATCATTTTGTTGTGGAGATCCCTTTTTGCTGACAGGGAAGAAAGAGTTGAAGGGGAGATAGAAAGATTGAGACTGGAAGGCAGGTTAACTTTCCACCCTAAGCAAACAGTATTATGCTTCGGATCAAAACGTTAACATAGGTGTTAGGAGTCAGAGGCAAAGCCCCAACAAAGTCTAGACTTTGTCTGTTTGATACCAGACATCCACTGACATGTTTTCAGGCCATTTAAGGCTAACAACTGATAACTAGACCTTCACAGAGTTTTCAACTGTTTCATTATAGCTGCAACATTTAGATAAGTGAAGCTTTATTTATTTCATTTCTTTATACCACTAAGTAAAAACTGATTATCATTTCTAACCCAGAGGCCTCCAAATTTCATTGCTGACCATCTCCATCTCTTATAATTACAGTGCACTATGTTCTGATGGCTACTTCCTTCAGAATATTGTTAGACAATAATTTCAAACTGGTTCTTACCCATTAATTTGGTATTAGTAAGGTTTACCCAATAAACCTTTGCATGCATAAAGCTTGTGAATAACGTTTTACATATAATGTTACTCCTTTTTATTATTGTTAAAGGAAGCTTTGATCCCACTCTATTCCCACTGAAGCCGTCAGCTGCAAACACTTTATGGGGCAAGTTACCGTTATTGTTTACGGTAACTCTGTCCCTCAAGGAAGTCTAGAAGCACACGTCTAAAAGGTTTGTAAAAAAAAAAAAAAAAAAAATGGCTAGTTGAAAAGTAAAACTAAAAATTAAAAGCTAAGTTAAAAAGACAAAAATGTAAGTGCCTGTATCAGCTTTAATGTTATCAGGTTATGTTGTAACAAAAAACATGTTTCTTTCACTCTG